GGGGGGTGCGGGGGGGGGGGTGGGGGGGGGTCCGCCCGTCCGCCCCCCCTGGGAGCCCGCGGCTTGCGGGGAGCGGGGTCCGCTGGCTTTGGGGTCGCTCCGGAAAAGAGACGATTCCCCTCCCCGTACCGGTACTGCAAGCCGGTATGCACTGTTAAATGCCTAAAAGAAAAGAAAACAAACAAACAGAAGTATTTAACCGTAGGAGTTCAACAAGTAGTTACAAACTGTGCGAGAGGAGAGGAGAGCGTGCGTGATGGGCAGCTGCGTCCTGTGCAAGCGCCTGCTTCCCGTCAAGTCCTACGCTAATAGTATTGGCTTCATCTTCCCCGTGAGCTAATGCTGCTTTGTGCGTTGCCTGTGGATAGTTTATACTTTTTGGTTTGCGTTGAGGTAGATACTGACTGTGAGCTTAGGCTGTGACAGCCACAGCAGGTAGTGAGTTTACACCTTTTCACCGTTGGGATTTTTCCTGGGGTCCCTTAGGTACATACTTCATCTTAACAAACAAATGTAATAGCAGTTAGCAGGTAACTGAATAGCATAAGCATACACTCTTTTGTGCAAGTCCCTGCACCTCTTGTTTCAGCTTGCTGCTTTGTAACTATTGTAATACTGTAATAGTCTTCCTGTATTCTTCCTGTTTTGTTTTCGGTTGGAAAATTTGCTGGAAGGACAAGAGCTAGCACATCAGTCCATGAAGTGATGGGTGAAGACAAATCCTTCCCCCAGGAAGGGAAGTACTTAAGTCTTGAATTAAATATACTTATTCCCACCCTCAAGTTTCACTTCCTAAATGCTGTGCCATCGTAATCCTACTAGTTCTCTAGTCTCTACCAATGTTGTGTGGGGGAAGGAGAAAACAGGGCAGACGATAAACAGGGCAGACAATAAACTTCATTTATGTGGTTTTAATTGCCCCCCCCCCCCAAAAAAAAAGAACAAAACCCTTAGGCCATTTTTTAAGGGAATATGGGGAAAAAAAAGTGTGAACTTATGTGAATACTTAGCTTGCTTGTTTTTTGTACTTGCCAGGTGCTTTAGGATTTCACTTAAGTCTTTCAAGTAGATTAAGACAAGATCTGATGGAGATGAGCAAGAGAGTGTGTGTGCAGCCCGGAGGAATCGGTTCCTTAAGGATAAAGGAAGTTGATCTGTGCTGGGCTTGTTGCTCTGACTTCTTACTGTGTATTTGCAGTACAGCTTTGGAGGAAGAAAAGGGGAGGACTGGCAGGCCTGTTGCTTGTATGGATACTATTCTCACAATATTGAAACCACATTCAAGGGAAGCAGAGCAACTATTCTCTCTGTGCAAAGGTATATTACTAAATGAGCATTTGAAAGGGTATGAATTTATTTAGAGCAAATTTGTCAGCTAAAGCTTGCTAATATGAGACTTTTTACCACTTTCTACTAGTATGGTGCTGACTTCTAAAACTGTAACAGGAAGAAAGTCGGACATAGAAACCCTTGATTCAGAGAACAGACAAACTTGTTTCTTGGGAGCTGATTATTAACTTGCTCTAAGTACGTTCAAGCTAACAGGCTTGGTTAACAATGCAAACAATTTGTTTCTGTCGGGGGGGAAAAAGCGTGTAATGTATTAGGTGTACAAGCACTTCCTCTTTCTATAAAAGAGAGTTAGAAATGAGAAGAATTGGTGAGTTTGGGCTGAACTGCAGAAGACACTAAACTAGCAGTTTAATGTTGTACAATACAGCTCAAGAACAATTGTTTCATGTTTAAGCCAATTTCAGTTGCTCTTTGCAGCCTTATCTTTCAGGGTGCTTTTGAATGTATTTGTAATACAGTAAGCCAGGAAAGCAGTATTGAGACACTGAAGTCTTAGATCAAGGAAAACTGAGCACTTAGTACAATAAATTTGTCAGTCACAGTTTGTACTCAGTGTTACACTCGGAGTAACACTCTGTCGTTGTTAATGAAGTAGCTTTAGGTGTTGTCTGTGCTACATTGTCTTGTTCTCTATTGCTTTTTCATTTCTGATGCATCACAGATACTATCCATTTGACAGTTTGTATTTGTGCCCAAAGTAGATCAAAGTCGGTTGGAAAACTTGTGGAATCAAGACTCCGTTTTGTTCATCAAGCACATCAAATACATATTAGGAACACTGAAAACCTCAACTCTGTCGACAGATTTGCTAGTGTACGTTTCCTGTAACTTTTAACAATGTGTCAATGCACCCTCTGGATGGGGGTGTTCAAAATTTGGGTTTCTAATTTCAGGCTGTCCTCTTCAGCAGTGTATTTTTGGTTATGTAGCGCAGTTCTGCAGGAGGAGCTGGCAGTTATCTACAGTTCTTATAAGGTGTTCTTTGTATGTTCTTACCAATTGTTAAGTCTTGCTGCTTACAGGTTCCCGTTGCCTTCCTGTAAGCTAATGACATGCTAGTGCTGTTATTGCAGGTAGAGAAATATAGGCATAACTTTTGTACGTGCTTGTCTGTTAGGGCTTTGGAGAGAGGTGGCTCTTAGCTGACAACTGTGCTGGAAGAAGCTCTGAACCTGAGCAGTTCCACCAGCAAAACTGTTTCTTCTGGTATGTCTTGGTTTAGAGGAAAAACACAGTGGTGTTATGACACTCATAAGTATGGCATCATTAGTATAGACTATACTAGTCAGGTTCTAGTGGCAAAGGATTATCTGTGTACTACCGCTACTGTTCACTAGTGTAGACCTATCCAAAAAGTTACATGGAAAAATCCTTATAGCTATAGAACTCTTGTATAAAGCCTGGAAATGGGCCATGTTATAAAAAGCATTAACCACAAAATGTTAAAATGTGCTGATAGTTGAACTGAAATTAAGGAAAGTATATGAATCTGAGGGGCCTTTTCAGTTTTCTACATGAAGTCATTTAAGTGAGGACAGAAGTCTGCTCCTCTAAGTTTATTTTAAAAAATTGATCAAACCTAGTTTGCATCATAGGTCTGCTGCGGTCTCTATAGTCTCTCCTGACCTTTGAGTTAAGATAACTGTATGACTGTCACTTATGGTGCAGTACAAGAATCAAAGGGTCAGCTTATCTTCTTCAAAATGGGAGGAAAAAGCAGGAGTATTCACTTTCTTGCTTCTATGGGATTCTTAGCCCAGAAGAATAAGTAGAGCACAGTTTATTACCGTAACTGTTACCACTGTGCTGCATCCTGGAGATTTGTCATGTGTTGGTGGTGTTTTTGGGCTGTCATGGAAGTCCCCTTCTGACCAAGTACGAAAGCAACACAGCGGTGCTCAGCCCTCCTCGGCCTGTAGCTGGGATTCCACCGGGGACAGAAGATTCCGTGTCTAATCCGTCTCCCTTTTCCTTTTTGGCCTTAATACCTTCTGTGTGACTAACGTTTAAATCCATAGCCAGAAAGACAACTATAGCAGTAACTGAACATGGGTACGTACAGACAGGAACTGCGTTTTTGTGTCTTGTGATGGTTGATAATAACCATGTGCTGTGTCCCCTGCAAGTAGGGATCCGCAAACCTAAAAAGCTGTATCCTCTTTTCTTGCTGTTCTCGTATTCAGAGAAGCAGGGTTACATAAACTATTATAATTTCAGTAGCCTTGAAAGCTTAAAGGGACTTTCCTTCCAAGATATACCTTCTAAAAGGAAAAATCAAGTAAGACTTCGCTGTAAACCTATTAACCTGTAACTAAACTGCCTTGGTTGACAGGAAGCATAATAAAGTCGTATTTCCAAGGACGGTTGAGTGTTGTGGGACAGGTTGCTGGGAGTGATGGCTGTGTTCTAACAGAAGACGTAGGGTTTTGACCTTCTACATAAAACATACATAGTCTTTTTGTTATTTACCTTACATTTGAGGATTCTGCTGGCATGGACAACTTGGATGTCTAGATCTAGTTTACTTAGCCAATTTTATGGATGATAATAGAAAAAAACACATTAAACTTGCTTTTTTTTTTCTTTTTTTCCTAACTGGACAGTGAAATATTAAAACTGATGCATCTCCCTTATGCTTCCATATGCAGCAGGAGGCCTCCTGCTGCATCTCTCTAAATGTAATGCATCAACTTGTGAAACAGCCTGTAGTTCATATGAAACAGTGTTTTCAGTTAAAACTGCTATAGATATGGCAGCTCTTCCTTTCTTCCTCCTCTTCCCTTATCTGCAGTATTTGGCAATGGCTCATTTCTCAGAAAAGTATGAAGACAACTGATTTACACAGCTCTTAGCCTTCCCCCTCTGTCAGAGTACTATGAAGAACAATCAAGTGTAGGTTTGAGTCAAATTAAGCAAGAGATGCTGCAAGACAAAAACTGTGTACTACTGACTGAGATCTGCACATATTGCTCCTCTTTCCACCTTTTCTTGCTGCTTAAGAATCTAGAAATCTGCCAGATGCAAGCAGCTTCAATAGATACTCTCGAGAGGATGTTGCAATTCAGTGCTGAAGGGCACCAATCCCATAGTATGAATATGCAGAAGTGTCTAAGCCTGGGAACGTGCTTTTCTTGCTATTTCCTCTCTTGTTAACTCCCCTACTGACAAAAAGGCCTCTTAAGTTTGTGTGCCTACCCTGTCTGCAGCTTTTAACGTCACTGTATGAGCAGCCAACTCTTGTATATCTTCAACTGTATGAGAGTCTCTAGCTGAACTGTCATCTGTTGTGATTTAGAGAGATAGGGAATGACTTGGAAAATATATAAGAGAAAAGACTCTTAGTGTCAGTGGTTTAGGAAGACTTTTGAAAATTAGCATTCCCTTAGCAGGTTAGACCCAAATAACTAGGGGAGAACCATAATCCACTAAGAACTGAAGTACCTCCTCATATTTGTGGTGGTGTGTCATTGCTGACTAAGACTCCTTTCCTGATGGACTAGGTGAAAAAGTCTTGTTAGTACGTGAACACATACCAACAAGTGTTCACGAAGCTATTGGGATCCTTGATGTTTCTGGGGACTGCTGCCGCTGAAAATTCAGAGGGTCTAGTTACTTACAAGCTGCCTTCCAGATGGAAGCTGCCTGGCCTGGGTAACAGTAAACTTGGTGACAGCAGCTGAAGAGATACACTTCACCCGCAGCCTTCGCATCTGGCCTTCTTGCAAGCGAAGTGTTTGTAGGAAGGAAACTGCCTAATAAACTTGAACTCATCGCAGCAGAATTTGGTAGAGCTCAAAGCAAGTGTGACAAACTTTTGTTTGCCTTTATTTCCCACCTTCTTTCCTACGATTCTTTCCCGTCCTTTGTGACAGACGTATCAGCAGTGTCATTGTCAATCACCAGAGATAAGACTTCTGAAACTCTGATAAGAGGGAAGAATATTCTATAGGTGGGGATTACCTTTGAGTCAGCATATCCAGTAAATTTAAGGTTACTCTGTGCTGAACCTATGCATATTTTTTTCAGTTTGAAGGCTCTGACTTTTGAACTATGCTTGTATTTATTAGTGCAAAACTCTTGTCAACTCTAAAAACTCTTTAAATCCAGCTGAAAGCATTAAAACTTGCATCTGTAGATACTGTCATCATTTGAACTTATACCAGTTGGGGGAGAAAAAAAGACTTAAAGAATGTATTAAAGCCTGAGGGGTACAGCATCTGTCTGGGTGTATCAGAAGTTGTATCAGAATGTGATATAAGCAAAAGCTATACCATATGTGTGGGCAGAGAATCTAAATAGCTGTGGCTGCGATTCCTGTGAGGCTGTCGATGTTACCATCTTTCTATTTCTTTTTTTTCTACCTTTTTGCTATATTGCCCAGACAGAACTTAAGCAATTAGTACTGTCAAGAGAATGAAGGTGGATGTAGTGATTTAATGTTAACCTGTTGGTGATAGCCATAGACTTGAGAACTGTTAAGCATGAAACTCAACGATGAGCATATTAAGTGGTTGAATACATCCTCTAAACTCAGACTGTAGCTGTGCCTTAGCGCTCCTTCCTCTAAGATGTTCCTTTTATTTAGGGGAAGTGAAACGTTCAGATCCGTTACGGCCTTGAGTCAAGCCCTACAGTCAGGGGCAATAACCTAGTGGAGAGAGAGAGTGCTAAGGTCCATTTCATTCTGTCTCTCCAGTCTGTACGGCCATCTCGGTCAATAATCTTAGTCGTTAAAAGGAAAACTGCAAAGCAAAACTAAAGGAAATTAGCAAACTCCCTAGCACAGTGAACTAACTCGGAAGTAAGAGTTGCATCAGTACAGGACTCTAAATTCATGTTGGGGAAATTAAATTGAGCTCCCAAATCTGGAAATAAACTGATTTTTTTTTTTTCCATTCAGTTTTAATCAGTACTGATTACTGTCAAACTGAAACACTACTCTCTCTCAAGCGCGCTCAGTTGAGACTGCCTGTAACCTGTGGGTTAGCTGGCTCACCAGTGTTTTTCACCTAGGCCTACTTAAAATTGGAAGGTGAAGCTGACGTTTCACACGTTTCTCTGAAGACCTCAGCAGTGCTGCTTCAGAGGCTTTTTAGAATGGACTGATTTAGAAGCACATATTTAGGCTTTAAGTTTCAAATACGCTTTAAGCTCTGGCAACTTTCAGAATCTCCTTCCTAAGAGAAATAACTGTTCTTCTGTACCATGTTTCTAAGGCAGTAAGTCTGTCTCCCAAGGTTATAAAGCTTATACACATAAATGCTTTAGGGAAATGTGTGAGGGGAAAGGTATATTAATGTAGTTTTGATTTTTACATTCTCTGAACATCCTGAGAGTCCCCAGTGGATTAAATAATAATACCACATGATACTTCTTTAAGATCTTATAGGTTTTGAATATTAATCATACAGTATAGCTGAGTCTCCATGCTGTACTAAATCAAATGGGGAGACTCCAATGATATCTGCAACTCTTGCACTTAACTTTCCTTGATGTGCACTCGTGATAGTGAACATGACTGAGGAGGCGATTTCTAGGAAGCAGTCTTCATGATCTAAACTTGCATGTTATTGTCAAGGTTCATAGCCGCAAACTGATGGCTTTTGTCTCAGGAGGTCAAGTATCTTGTGTGTAGAGCTTATAAACGAGACATAACCTGCCACCAAAACCTTAAAAGTTTTTTCAAGGATAAGCTCCTCTACTTGTTGCTGGCCTACGTTATTATATGGCTCTTTCTTACTTGTTGTAAAACACTTCAATGTCTGTCCAGTAACACTCGACAAACTAGTTTTCTGGATACTTTCAAAGACTATGATTAATCAGTTGGTAGAGACTTTTTAGCTTTACCTGTTCTGGACAAAAGCTAACCAGACTAAGCTGTTTTAATGAATGTCTGGTGCCAACTACACCTAGGTTATACCTTTTTCTGATCTCTAATTTCCTCTGTATATTTGGAATACTGAGGCGGAGGGATGCTTCATAAATTGGACTATACAGACACTATTGTAATGTATTAACACTGCTTACAGTGCAGAAAGTTTTAGGGCTCTTGGGTGGTAGTAGGTAATGAGATAGGAACACAGTGAAGCAGTCTAATACAAAATCACTTCAGAAACCTGTGTTAGGTACTTGTGCAATCATAATTGCTATTTTAATAAACTTTCACAAGAGGGCAGAGTAGAATCTGCTCTTGGAAACGTAATTGTCTTGACTCTCATTAACTAAAAATGATCCAAGGCAGATTCCTTCGGTGTTATGACACCAAGTGCTGTATCCCTGCTATCCACGTGTCTCATATACCGAGGCTCTTCAGTCACTGCCCTGGCGAGTCCTAGAGAAAGCGACAGTCTCCCTCAGCTGTCCTTCCTGCAAGGAGGTGGCTGGGGAATAGAGGAGGAGAGATTTGTAAACATGGCCTGTACACCAGCACTGCCAATGTTTGCTTAATTGTTCACAGCTGAAACACTCTCATTGTGGTTGTTAGCCCCAAAATCTCTTAGCTGTTAGCACAAGATAATGCTGTCATGTAGATAAGCAAGCTCTTGGTAGCTTGAGAGTGTAGTAAAGGAGATACTGCTTAAAGTCGACAAGCTTTCCTTGTGGTATGTTGAGGTGTGGTGAAATAAGACCAAGAAAGCTGAGAAGTGCTATGTGTCTCTAGCTTTTGGAGTCTTTAAGTATGAAAGCCAATTCATTATTACTGTTACTAGTAGTGATGTTATTACAGGAATACCTGGGACTACCAGTAATACCTGGTTACTTCAGTAATGCGCAAGCTAACTCTTTTTTTCTCCTCTTTCCTTATTAGAGGACAAACTGAGTTGGGCTTTTTCTTGTGTATCTGAGAAGCTTAGCTTTAACTCCTTGTTGCACCTCACTACTGCACGTTCCAGTAGCTTAGCTAAAAGTTTCTCTGGATTCCACCGCTCTGGTTATTCTTTGAAGAGTCTTCTGGCAGGCTATCCTGTACAATTCTGTGACATATAATACAGTTAATGCAAATAAATTAACATTTAGCATTATAATATTCTCTTCTTTTTCTTTTCTTCTTCCTACTTTAGATTGATCCGAAAGACTACACGTTTTCTGGACTTAAAGGTGAAACTGTGGGTCGACTGCCTGGAAAAGTAGCAGGGCAACAATTTGTCATTCAGGACTGTGAGAACTGTAGTATCTACATATTTGATCATTCTGCTACAATCACTATTGATGACTGCATAAACTGCCAAATCTTTTTAGGACCAATAAAAAGTAGCGTTTTTTTCCGTGACTGCAAAGACTGTAAATGCATAGTGGCCTGCCAACAGTTTCGTACTCGGGACTGCAAACGGCTGGAGGTATTCTTGTGTTGTGCCACCCAACCCATTATTGAGTCCTCCACAGGTATGAAGTTTGGCTGTTTCCAGTACTATTATCCTGAGCTTGCTTTACAGTTCAAGGATGCTGGACTGAGTATCTTCAATAACACATGGAGCAACATCCATGACTTTACCCCTCTGTCAGGAGAAAATAACTGGGGGCTTTTGCCTGAGGATGCTGTAGTTCAAGATTATGTTCCTCTGCCCAGTTCTGAAGAGCTGAAAGCTGTCAGAGTTTCTACAGATGCTATGAGAAGCATTATACCAATAACTCGAGGGCGGAGACAGAGAAGCAGCGATGAATCGTGTTTGGCAGTGTTTTTTGCTGGTGACTACACGACTGCAAATGCCAGAAAGTTAATTGATGAAGTAAGTGACCTTTCTCTGTGTTCAGCTTTTTGCATTTCTGATCGAACTTTCCTCTGGATAACCTTGGTGCTTACTGTAGTGAAAATGCTGAGGTTCTGCATATCCATCAACTGCGCTAATCAACTACGTTTTTTTTAAGCTTAAAACAACGTAAGAGAATGGAGCTCGTTTAATGAAACAGTAGTTTTAAAGCTAACATTTTGTGATTGGCACATATTTCCTTTGACTTTTTCAATGTGTTTTTCCAGCACAGCACACCAAAATTAATACTGAAGAAAACATGTTTTTGATCAATAAACTCAGACAAATTTAAAATAAATGATCAGCAATGCTCGTAAAAGGGGTATAGTTGTTTTACTCATTAGCTTATTGACCCCAAAGTCACAGCTAACAAGGCAGTCTGGCCTGAAAGATTTACTTATAGCAGAGAATATTAGCAGAGATTGGGAAACGTTCAAGAATAACATGCTAAATTGTGTCCCCTCCCCCCCCACCCCCCGCCACCCCATGCTGTCTTTGATTACTTAAGATAGCTGGTGGAGCTCCCAAGCTTGGCTGTGTTTAGGGTTTATGAGGCTAAAATCCAGGAGTGGCTGCTCTTGGCACTATGGATTGATGCGAGCTGACCAATAGCTAAGAGCTGCAGCTCCTCAGAGAGGTATCTGCAAAAGCTGCTGACCCCAGTCTTATATTATCAGTGGAATAGCTGATGGAGCTCCTTCCCTTAGATTTTTAACAACTTTTTGGAAGGGAAAAAAAAACAACCAAGAAACTCTAGTCGGTTCCCTGCCTGCCACCACCACCACTAGATTTATTTATTTATTTATTTATTTTTAATGGAGCTGAGTTACTAACAACTATTTGAATGAAGTGAGATAACTGTACTTTTTTTTTTTTTTTTTTTCGGAAGAAGGAATAGCTACAGTATAGAGGACATTAGATGTAGTGTCTTATATTTGTTGCTCTTGAGGAATTTGACTTAAGAAGACTCTAAAGGACTAGTTAGTGAAGTGCTATGGAAATCTTTCCCACTCTGTAGACTAATGAATGCTTTTAAGTACAGATAGAGTTATTCCTTTTCCACATGCTTTCAGTTTCCTACTAGATTTGAAGAAAAGCTGTGTGTTTGAAAAATTGTAACTTTTTTTCATAATAGAAAACATCAGCTGTGGATAGATAAGATTGAGCTAATGCTTGACTGAACTATTGCAGACTAATAAGAACTAACTGCTTGACTCCAGATGCTGAATGCTCTTAACTCTCATTAGCTTCAGCTTGTGAAGGATTGTGGATAAAAACACAACCGTAGGCCATAATATAAAACAGAGGAGAAAATCTGCATGAATTGAATGAAAATAAACAGAAATGCATAAAAAGCAAATGGTCTTTTTTTAAAAAACAAAACAAGGTGGTCCGTTAGCTCTATGTTTTAATGTATATGGGCAAAATGAGTATATTCCAGTATAAACTGGATACTGTAAACTGCCTTCCTTAGAAACATTTGTGACATTAATTCTTTATCTATTAACAGATGACTGGCAAAGGCTTTCAGTTGGTACAGACTAAAGAAGTCTCAATGAAAGTGGAGGATGCTCAGAGAGTTTTCCAGCATTGTGCATCAGAATTCATTCCACTGCTTGAAAAAGGCAAGTTGATGTATTCATTTCTTTCCTCTCTCCACTGACAGCTAGATGTCTGAATGAAGGAGAGTTCTTCAGATGAAAGGAGAGCTAGGGAGAAATACATGTTTTAAGGACATAGTGTAAAGTCATTTAAGATGGATCTTGGACGCTTCAGTCAGGCCTTGACTGAAGAGGACTCCTGAGGGCTTCAGAAACGAGCTAACCTGTGTGTATTTTGTGGCTCTGTGCCCCCATCTAGTGGCCCAACTACATAGCTTGGCAGCTGGTGACTCACGCAGATCTGTCTGGGTGGTGGAAAGGATCTCATGCTTTTAGAATTGAAATTTTTCTAGCTTATCACTATTGCTGATGAAATACCTAGATGTTCAATATTTCTGTACACTTACTTAAGCAAGTTAAAGTAGATGTGAATAATGCAGGCAAATGTGAAGTCCCTGTTTATAACTGGTGTACTGTCAAAATGCTCCAAAAGCTTTTTCTTAAGTTTGACTGGAATTGTTTTTTGCCTGTTCCTGTAGAAGTACTGACATCTTGCCATCTGTTATATGCTAAGGCTTAGTACATGCTTCCAAACTTAGTAGCAACATGCCATTTTTTTCATAATAACATAAAAAGAGGTCTATGATACTCATTACAAGAATAGGACAAAAGTTATTGTACTTATCAGATGACGGGCTAGTTTGAGGGATATTTTGCATTCATGTAGGAGGAAATGACATGTTCGGAGTGAAACCAGAGAAAGGGGATCTAGAAATAACAAATGCGAACAAGTCTAAAAGCCAGGCTGTCTGCTATCTTGGGACTGAGGCAAAAATGCCGGAATGACTCAGTCCTACTCCAGATGTCTGTGAACGGCTCACTATTTGAACAGTATATTCTGACTCACTTCCATGCTACCCTGCGCTCTTTAGCATTTTTGTGCCGTTGCTGCCTTTCAAGAAATAAATCTGGAAACCTGCCAGAGCCTCTGCAAAAAAGAGCATGGAATTGCAAATATTTTCTTTTCGGATAACTACTGTACTTCAAAGCTGTGGTTAAGTGTTTTTAGTTCTTTATCCTGCATTATGTCTGCTCAGGCAAAAACCATGAAATGCCTCTTGCAAAATTCACAATTCCCTAACGGATGAGAGAAATCTAGCATTTTAAAAATCAAACTTAAAAGTAGTATTGATTCTAGATGAAACTGTCTTCTAGGTCCAGTGGTTGCTCTGGAATTCAATGGAGATGGTGCTGTGGAAGGATGTCAAAGCATTGTAAATGATGTTTTCAGTGGAACCAAGGTAAGTTGCTGTGTTGTTACGTCAGCAGAAAATGTTACAGAACATCTAGAATACTTCATGTTCAAGCTGTAGTTTTGATATATTGAATGCTCTTTGAAATTTCTGAATAGCAAAATCTAAATATCTTTTTTTTTTCTCCAAAATTCTCAAGGTTGCTTGTAGGATATTGAAGAATTGCCCTAGAAAGCTGAGAAAATATTAGATTCCCATATCTGTTGAAGAATATAAAATTTCCACTGGAAGCTGCTACCCTTCATGATAGGGAAAAGCAATTCGTATAATTAACAGTAGGACAAAGCTCTGCTGCGAGTCTTATGCTAAAGTCTCCTTTGTGATGTTCTAATCTAGTGAAATCTGACAAAAATATGATTGGATTTCAACTTTTTTCAAGACTTACTTTTGCTATGAAGGATATTGCAGTATGCCTTCAAAGGTATATTGCTTTTCTCTGCTCTAGGCTTGTTTTACTGCAGCTTCCTTATACCATACCTCCTCTTTGCTTGCTGTGCCATTTCTTTGAATGGCATGGGTTTGAGAAAGTGTCTTGAAACAACTAGAGTGCTCCAAAGAAGCAGCATTCCTGATACAGGAGAGTGATAAACCCTTGGCTCTCCGGGAGCTGTTCAAACAGGCTAGCGTGTCGCTGGGACATTTCAGTTCCTCTCAAAAGAACGAATTACTCCAGGAGGCAGCTCATCCAGTTTCTGGAATACGCTTCTCCTGTAAGAAGTCATCTCAAACGCAGGGAATGCTTGCTTTTTCTTATTTGCCATTGCATCAGCAACCGCCTGTTGTGTAACAGGCCTTAATTTGGCTCTCTGACTCTGGAGAATGCTGGAACTACAACCCTGGAGAGTCTTGTGATGTTACTGATTCTTTCTTGTGACCCAAAAGTCTTCATTGCAAGTCTTAGCATTAAAAAATGGCCTCTTTAAGCAGGAGCCTACCATGTCTTTTTTTAGTGATGTTAGCCTGTTTTTCATGCTAAACAAAGCTAATATTCACTGATTATTCTTCTAGATCTGAATTTCTCTGTTAAAATGCTGAAGTGCTGTAAATTATTAGAACAAGTAGAATTTTATACTTTCATTAAAATGAGTGGCATGTGTTGTCATAACATTGTGAATACCCTAGAAGTAATTTGGAGAGTAACAAACTCCAGGCTTATTGCTACTGGAAGTTTCAGGAACGCTCTGTAAAATGTTTTCACCTCATTATTGCCTGCCCTTATCCTGTTTGAGACTTGTTGCAGTGCTTGAGTATCCCTGATCAAGAAACAACAAAAACTCTTAACAAAGCAGCTATCCTGTAAGACTTTGCAGGATATTAGTCTGATTTTGAGCGGGTCACTACATTTGTCTCTGAAACCACTGTTAAAAGCGGTTAACTCAATCAGTTAAGAAACTTGCTTTAACCACTCTATATAGAGTAGAGGTGGAAAAGTCCTTCAGCAGTAATACAGTAACAGCTTTTGGTGCTGCTTGGTAAAAACAGTTTGTTAAAAGGAGACCTCTAAGCTTCATGCTTGAGTGAACTTCCTATTTCTGTGGACTAGATAGATCTGCGCTCTTTGCATCTGATAATCTTTCTGGTGTGATCTTCTGCAGTTCGTGTGTGTGTGTGTGGCTTTTTTGTGCCGTTTCTCTGCCTCATCATTATGCATCAAATCCTCTGCAAAATGAAAATTGTGATATCCTGGGACGGAAGGACGGTGAAAGGAAGTGTTGAACTGTTATCAATGTTATTGAAATCATTGTCATATCAAACTACTGCCAAATACTTAGTAGATGTTCTCAAGTCCCTTCAAACAGAAGTCTACGAGGCCTCTAAACAATAGTCTGTGAAACTGTTTACTTTGGGTTAAAATCTTTTTTAGTTTAAAATGAAAAATTTGCTGGATGAGGGGATATTCATCTTACAACACGGCTTAAGTGAAGCAATTGAAGGAACTGTCCCAGTTTACATCCATATGGTATTCTGAGTTAAACCAGAGAAGCAGTAATCGCATGGGTGTGATTATCTGGAATAACTCACTCCTGCAGTTCCAATGCATTTTGGAATAGTTCAGTTGGCTGTACAAACACTGATGTGCTAAGAAAGTGAGAATATCTTAATTTCCCCCCAAGATGCAGAACTCGAAGTTAAGTTTTGACTGAGGAGAGCACTTGCATGTTGAGATTATTAACAGTAAGACTGATGGACAGCCTTAGCACTGCTGTCTGTTATGTTGAACTATTTGGGCAGTGTATAAGGCATCTGTAGCTAATTTGCTAAAAGCTTTCACAGATTATTTTCTAGCACTTAGAACTTTCACGCACATTGATCAATTCTGCAAAACACAAATGCAATCAATGTTATTCTTTAAAAAAGGCATCTGAAGAGCAAGCAACTAAACTTTTAAGAAAATAGTGCCAGGGAATCTTTCTTGCAAGCTTTATGTTTCTGTTAAAAGGAAGTTTCACGGTAGCTTAAAGTGGTATGTGTGTGTGGTTTTTTGTTGTGATTTTTTTTCTTTTTTTCTTCTTTTTCTGGATGGAGTTTGACTTTACCAAGCAAAATATATCAAACTGGGCAGTAGCTGAAGCTGTGACTTCTAAATAGTTTAGCCTAAATCTTTTAATTCCTATCAGTGGAAGGTGAGATTCCTGTAGCCAGCATGTTTGCTAGGACAAATCACCGTAACAGCGAGTGCATCAGGGCTCAGAATTCCGGAACTATTCTAAAACATAACAGAAATGAGTGGAGTTGTGCCTCTCGGGAAACATGTGAAAGTAAAAAGAATCATTACTGCCTCTGAATAAACAAAGACTACTTGAACTTGTTTATTAGCAATGCATAACTATTTCCTTGTTTAATAAATTAGGTTTTTGTATCGGAGAGCAAGGCATCAGCGTCTCAAGACGTAGACAATTTCTACAACTTTGCTGACATGCAGATGGGAATGTGAAGTCTAACATGAAAACGTTCACGTATGGTTTGTCCCAGCGCCTGGATATATTGACTTGAATGTTGCAGGAGTATGAGAGAAGTTTTCTCATTTGATTTTGTATTTCTTCTATATCCCTCTTATAAAAGCTATTGCTGGCTTTAATACCATGTTACATAAACTACAGTAAGTGGTATAGCTCCCCATGTACGTTGTTTGAAACTTACATTTCAACTCCAGAAACTATGGAGGCTCCCTCTTCCCCCTCCGCCCCTGAACTTGTCTTTACAATGATTTCTTAACTGTCATTGACACTTGAGCATTTCTTACCAATGCCTAATGGTAAGTCATATTTGAAAAGTGCAATGCTGGTCCACATTTGATGCATTAGTAATTGTTAACTCAGACACATGGTATAGAAAGTGCATTTATGTGAAACTTACTGTTCAAAACTTTCCCACATGCAAATTTGTCTTCACTGGGGCCAGGGAGGAAGCTGTAGTCAATGACTTTTTTTCTGAAAGCTTAGTGTGAAGTGATTTTTATAGCATGCTTTCAGGAGCAATGCATGACTTACCCTCTTATAAAATGTACATCTGGTTTATTCTGCTTCAGCATCTTTATTGAATGAAGTTGTTTGCAGCAGCATTTATGCTGAGGGTTGTCATAACAGCATTCTGAGAAGTGAAATCTTCCTAGGCTCTTACGCTCCAAGGTGAATGTTGAGCTTGAGTCTGCGGAAGATGCTGTAAGCTTCCGTTGAGGGTCTCTGGTATTACAGATGCCTTTAGGATTCCTGAGTAATGTGTGGGATATACATGAGGTTCACCTGAACTCGAGAGTAATAAGTCACCAGCAACATCCTTGTTTGTTGCAAGAGACATATAGCAACCTGGAATCAGAAAAGGGCTGCGGCTTTAGAAAAGCTTTCCTTTGCTGTCCCCAAGGAGTAGGGTTCTGTACTCAGTAGTAGTACTGAAAATTTGGCTGTAAAGTATTACACAGTGTTGTAAAACTAATTTTGGATTAGTTCCAAAAATCAGACTAAGGAAGTGCTACTAGCATTTTAGGAGATGCATTTGATAGTGATCAACAAGGATGCTTATGGCTGTGTAGTGCATACTGCTATGCATATCTATCTGTATAGATATGAAATACATGATTCCTTTGAGCACATTAGATCCTCTGTGATTTTCTGTAGGAATTTAAACTTTGTCTAGGTTTACATGCCCTCCATAATACTTGAATAGGTTGTGTGTCCGGAGGTACTACATTTCTTAATTAAAATGGTGGCTTGCGAATTTATGTAGCCTTTCCAATTCATTGAACACACTTGGGCTGTGCTGAGTTGCTAAAGCAATAATTTCCTCATTAGGGTCATCCATCCAAAGGTAAGATCTTTTGCATCTTAACTGAGAGTGAGTCTCTTGACTCATCAGTTTTGCTGCGCTAGAACCGCTAGAACTCCAAGAGTAGGTGGCTGAAAATGCCTTTTTTTTTTTTTTTTTTAAGGATTTACCACATAAAAGAATCTGCTTGTTCCTCTGAAATTCATAATTCTGTCATGGCCAAGAGATGTTCCGAGCTGTCATTTTGTTTCCACTTGGCAAATGCATGCCCTTAAACTATGTATCAGAAATATATCCTTAGGACCTCATGTTAAAGTTATATTCTTTCTTATTTAATCTAAACATCTCCTGAAGTCACTAAACAATTAGTGTACTGAAGGTCATAAAAATGTCACTTCCATGAAATGTCTTTATTTGACAGAGTGAAATAAGATCAAATTGGCAAGAAAATCTGATTGATAATAGAAATTACCCCTTGTGTTTGCACTTAGTCAGCTATATATATATATGTGTGTGTTTATATATATATATGTATGTGTGTGTGTGTCGTGTGAGGGCATGCTGTCAAAACAGCTGAAATATTAGATCCATCTACTAAATTCTAGCAGAACTTGTCAGTGAACACTGCAGGAATTATTCTAGATTCATACAATAAATGTATTTTTCTGATATCGACAGTACATTAGAATTTTGTGTAATGTATTTCAAAACTGTCATCGTGTAACTTCTCCAAGCACTGAATATATTGGACCGTCTTGGTTTTTGAACTTTCATATGTGATATATCCAAGCTTACTGCTGACACATGAATATATATGTGTTATAGGGTTTTTTTTAATCTTCAACTTGATCAGGAAAGAAAGTGCTAAATTGATGTTTGTGTCTGTCTTTATTGGAAGACAGGATAATTAGTTGACAATTAACCTGGACTTTAAACAGAGAACACTTTTTACATCCCCTACCCTAGGAAAGTGTGTGTGGTGGGGTGTTGTTTTTTTTTTTTTACATTGACAGCATGCTTACCAATGTAAAGGATTTTTTGATAAAGATTGAATAACAAAGGAGTTCCTCAATCCAGTTATTTATCTTTTGAATTTCTTGCTAGCAGGAATTAAGAATACTTCTACCCTAAATAAGCTTGCATCAGGAATCGTATGTATTACAGAATGGTACGTGCTTCGTGTAGTCTTTGTACGGTCGTTGTATAGCTTTTTATGTAACTTACCTTGCACTGTGAATGTGATTCATAATAAACATTGAAAATCTAAACTCTGGATTCTGGAAGAATTTTTTTTAAATTGTAAATTATTGTATAACATAATTACGTTATATTGAAAATTAAAACTCAATTCATGTTTAAACAGGAACTTCAGCTAGTTAGATACTCATAGCTAATTGAAAATAAACATTAACTCTCTGCAGTCATCCACTCCTCTGAAAAATATGAATTTTTGACAGCAGGGATTTTTTGCCAGAGATGCTGAGGATATAATTAATTTTACAGTGCAGTTTTCCTACTAAAATATGCAGGAAGGTGTTTTTATATCAAATTGTAGAGATATGAATACAGAGATTGCATGGATGGAAACTACTAAAGCATATCTTGCTAATATGTATGTATATGTGTGTTTGCTTTTGTTTTGGGTAGGTTTTGTTTTTTGTTTTGGGGGGTTTTGGGTTTTTTTTTTTTTTTGTAAGAGTTATACTTTTTAACTGTGTTTACCTCTCTGGATATTAGATGCATGCTAGTGATGTGCTCACACCAAAAATGGACTGTGGTAGTTGCACTAGTAGAATTGTTCATTTAGAAAATAGTTCCTTTATGTATTCTATTTAAGATGTAAGGACTCCTGAACGCAGGTATCCATAACATTATATTTGAGGGTTCAGGTTTTAAAATGGCCAAAAAAAAGTTTTCCTGCTAGCGATGGTGTAGAATAACTTTCATGTAGTGTAAATGTTTACTTAGAATGTGAAGTACTATGTCAATATAAATTTTAATTAATTGAGCTTAATCATGGTTTTAAAGAGTAAAAGCTTTTGGCTTACACTTGGTTACTATTGTCTGTTGCATCTTAGTTTCCTAGTAATCCTTTTACGTGATATTTAAGTCATAGCAAAACTGTTTTTAAGTACTTTCACAATTCTTACTAAACACATCCTCAGATACTAACATACCAGAAGCTTTGTGTCTGTGCCCCAGTTCCTGGGAAGTCACCCACTTTCTTTACTCAGATCTAAATAGTCATGCATAAAATGCATGGATTTAAAACTAATGCAAATACCAGGCTGCACTTTATATAACCAGGACAAATTTTTTCCATTCTAAAAAGCAATCTGAAACTTTATAATACAAATTATGTGATTATGTGCTCTAGTCATTCTGACTAATAGGGGCAAAAAGGAGTTTTAGTGACTTCTGCTTGAGAGAGAACTCCATAACTGAATATTTTTCCCATTTGAAATGTTAGCTTTTAAGTGTTTAGGCTTTATTCATACAGCATTCAATTTTCTATGCATGTTTAAGTTCGTGTTGCTGATTGTGCCTTGTGGAAGGTATTGATTCCTCAGGCATTTTTCCTAAAAACTTAATTGGAGTGAAATGAACCTTTTTAAGGTCTACAAGTGGCCCAGGTGCCTGCCTGAGAAGTTCATAAACTTTAGGAATTTTTGCTACCAAGCAGATTCCTCATTGACTCCTTCCTGGATCTTTGTGCCAATTTTTTTTTGTTTCTCTTTTCTCCCCTCTGAATCTCTCAGGGTGGCGTAAGTGTTTGGAGGTATGAAGGAATCGCTCTTCTAAGGCATGTTTAAACCTGATCTAAAATGTCTAAATGCCGGTGTAACTGTACTAAAAACTATGAATAAATGCTGATTGCAAGTATCATCCCTAGCGTGCTTGGATTTATGTAGAGGAGAGATGTTGCAAGGGGGCTGTAGGACTTCATTAAATTGTGTTTCGTGATCCTGCATTCTTACTCCAATAGGCCTTGGAGCCCAGTTGTGTGGTGGTGCACCCAGTTCACTGCACGTCACAGCGCTCGTGACACAAGCTACGCTAGTTTGCCGAGGGTAACAGTTTCTGAAAAATCACGGACTTGCTGCATGCCAGCCTGAAAGTTTCTCTTAAACCTAGCTAGTCCGAGCCCCGTATCTGTAAAGCGGACAGCACAACCATCTCTATATTGAAAACTTTAGAAGCATCAAACCTGGTAAAAGCAGGCTCTGTGAGAAGCTTCACTGAGTAGTTGGGAGTCATGGTGAGTTACCAGGCCAGATGTTGATATTTTGGCTTCCAGTTTGAGAGAATGCCTTTGACTGCTGTTCATCCCACTGGAATGCCTGACTGCCATAAGGTGGCTGCTGCTGAACGCTTGTGGTCGGGCTGTCATGCTGATTCATATGCAATCATGGCTGGTTTTGAGGAAGAGCCAAAAAAAAAAAAAAAAGTGAGGGATGGATGGCAGAAACTTTTAACAAAAGCTCTGAAGTTTTTTTGAGTGATAAACTTTTTCTCTATCCCTACCTACTGTCTGTCTGTTCATTCCTTTTTTAGTTCTTTCCGTGGTTTTCCCCAGCTATGCACAATTTTCCTGACTAGGGTACCTAAGAACCTTCCTGGGGTGCATTAAGCAACATGACCACAGTTAAGTCAAGTGTGAGTCACCTTCCCAGTTGCACAAGGTTTTAAGAGTTGCCAGTGTTATCTAAAGACTAAGAAGATCTTTTAACAATGTGTGGATTTCCTTCAAATCCCTCTGATGAAACCACTACAGGAAATTTGTCCTTAGAAGCATCAGGTAAAGTCAATAGGTGTAAGAAATTAAGATTAGGGTAAGGGGCTCTTGAGCAGCACTTAAATGACTACACAAGCATTTCTCTGATGTTCCTGAACAGCAAACGCTAAAAGAATGTGTTTAACTTAATGTGCTATTGCAAATTCTACCAAAACAATGAGGCTAAATTAAGTTTATCTGTGCAGTACTAATGGTCAAATGGTTTACTTGGTGACTGGATGACAGTACTATGTATCTCTATGCTTTTCCAACTTCATTTTGTCATAGGTGTTGTGATGTTAAAGTTCAAGTTCCTTAACTTGTGTAAGAATCTCTGCTTTTGTTTTTAGGTACCTTTGTAAGAAAACTTGAAAAGTCTTTGCTCTTTGAGCCTTTCAACTTGTGTATTAAAAAAAAAAAAAAATTAAAGAAAAGGAAAAAAAAAATTCTAGGGATGAGTGTGTGGAGAAGCAGCTAACTTGTGATATCTGAACACTCCAGGGAGCGTCAGTCTTGATTTTTTTTTTGTTTTTTGTTTTTTAACATGGATGCTAACTGCCATAGAGAGTTTCCCTGAGTCTGTATATAAGGCAACATAGAGGCAGCTAACTTTCCAATTTTTTTTAGGTAAGAGATACAATTTGTTTCCTCACTAATACAAGCATAAGAGGTATTCTTTGTTTCTTTTGTGTTAGGCACTTACTTGTGTGTGTTTAAGTAAAGATATAGGCCCGTAACACTGAGACCTGTTAAAAGCTGCTGGCAGTTCTCTCCATTCTCTGTTACTATCTTAGAAGGAGAAAGATAAATAAAAGTTCTGCCTAAGCGTAAAACTTTGAACTTGTCAGATCCTGGAAAGTGAAGCTGGCACACTCATTTTGCTCTGAAGAGAGTAAATGCTTCATTATTGTAGAAGGTGCCTTTTTTTTTTCCCCTCCCCTTTCTGAATGTGCTGACCTTCTTAAGAGGTCTCCACCTTTCCCCTGATTTCTGAAGTCCCTGCTTTAAAAAAAATTTTTTTTTTGGTAAAGGTTCTGCAGCTTAAGTGGAGGGGCTGTGCTATGACCTGAGGGCATCTTCTGATAGCTACCCCAACAGGTGCTAAAGGATTGGGTTCAGTGTTGGAAGTAAAGATAATCTTTTGAAAATCTGAGTGGTCTTTGCTTCTATTTGTAATAGTGCATTTTAGAAAGAAAGACTTTTCATCACAGGAGGGTTTTAAGACAGCTAGTGAGCCTTAGATGAGGTTCTACTCCCCGCCCCCCCCAGAAGAATGAAAGTTACTCCACAGCAATAATTAGCTCTTTTGTTTGCAGGTGGGCGTTTGTGCTTTACTATAGCACTTCAATGATTTTGTTCATTGTGAAAGGAAAATAAGGGAGTTATGCTTTTCTGTCTCTTGCCAGTGGCTGTCAATGCTTGGCCTGATTTGGGGGATGTTGTATCGAGGCTTCATCAATGGCCTGTGATCTACCAGCGATCCAACTTTTATGCAGCCTTTACAGGTTTCAAAGAAAAAAGGTATGCCAGGCTTTGGTATCTGTGTATTTCTTTTCTTACCAGAGATGAGCAGAATTGCGGCCCTTGGAGGCTTCCACATGCTGGCTGGGAATGCTGCAAAGACTTGGACGGAGAGGTATGAATTGGATCTCCCCCCCCACCACCACCACCAAACCTTTCCAGTTCTTCCTTCCCCCCAGTGTACCCCTCCATGATTCTACAACTTGTTTGTTGCCTGTTTTACATCCCTGGCATCTGACCAGAGGTAGCAGATTTGGTAGAAAAAATAGTTTTCTGTTGAAATTCACTGAAAATGCTTCTAGCTATTTCAATTATAGATGCTTTTTTTGCAGCTCCACTTTGGGTTAAACTCTGAGTGACCCTACCTCTCAGATGTTAAACATTACTTCAGTGTAACTTCCTTAATATTTTAATAGACTATGTGCAGCCCCTAGCTTTTGTACAGCTGAATAATGACTTAGTTCAACCTGCTTATAGTATACATGTATGCATTATTTCGTTGTGACCATTTATTTCTCTTGTATTTCTAGTTTCCAGAGCATTCCTCCCTTGGGAGGACTTTGTGTTTGTGCTATATTTTATCAGCATGTTAACATCTGGCTTTGCAAATACCGCCTATTCTCTAGGTGCATAGGAGCATCTGTAGTTCATCCTTTCATAAGAAAATGTGGAAACTGTGTTGCATGTGTCTTTTAAAGAGAAGAACAATATATAGTCTGCATCTTATTTTTCATCTTGCTACGTTTTCTTATAGAACACACATAAAGAATGTAAATGTAATTCTGTGTAAATTCTTATCAAATCATAAATAGTTTGCTAGAATTAACATGGGATCAGATAATGAAAAATTTATTTGCATATAAAAGCGTTTATTGAAATTAGTAGCCCTACTGACTCTGTGCCACCATTTTTTCCGTGTCGCATATCTTTCAGCCCTTAGCATGTACAGATGCGGATTTATGGTAGAAGTGCAGGTTGTAATGTCGTCCCCTCTATCCCTTGATACGTGACAGCCAGTGAAGGGGAGGGAGGTGTGATCCCAGGCATGTGAAATGAAGACAGCTGCACAACACCTTTTCCTGGGTTGGGCTGCATCTGGTCCTGATAAAGTCATTCATATATGAAATAATCTGAAAGAAAACTTCTCATAGGAATGCTTATTTTACTGATGGGAATATGCATTCTTCGTTGTTCTTCAGAATGACTGATAAACACTATATACTCCACTGTGCAGGTTTTGTGGACACAGAAACAAAAAATCATTTAAAAATATAAATTAATATATTAAAATATACTTCCACATCGTTTGTGTTAAGGGTAACTCAATCAGATTTAAAATTCCTTTTATGACTAGAAAACAGCTTGTCTATACTGCACAGACTTGGTTTTATTTCATTTTGAATTTTCTGCGTTCTGGACTTTAAACCTCTTGTCTAAGAGTTAGCATTGCCTGCCCTACTGTCTAGACCATCCAATTTGATATAGAAGATTCCACAAGCGTGTCTGGGGGCAGAAGGAGTGTTCTTGACATCTTTACTTGACGTTGCGGCTTTCTGAAGCTGCTCAGAGGCACAGAGTGTTTTCCTGGCAAGTATATATTAATGAACAGAAGGCAAATGAGGTGATCACTGGTGCATGCAGAAAACCATACATGTCCGTGTCACTGTTGCGTTGCTGTCTGTGTTTGTAGAAAGCTACCTTTTAGTATTACATAAAGGAATATTAACCAAAGAAAGAGTGGGGTTTTTTTTATGCAGCAGGTACTAGATGCACAGGACTCCTTGCCAGCAGTGTTTTACAATCAGAAGGTTTTACATTCAGCTAACGCAGGTTCAGTCAAAGCTTACTTGGGCAAGTACTGGAGAAGTGATCTATTGAGAGTTACTAAACAGACAAACCACATCGCGCTTGGGAAATCTCCTCAGCTAAAAGTAGTTGGAGGCTTGCAGAGTATATGGGGGAAGTATCTTTCTGTGGATGCCCGTTTGGGCCAGGAGGAAGTTGATGAGGAGGCCCAGGACTCAGTAGAGCTAGAGAGAGGTTTAGCAGGCTGGATGGACCGTTTGGCCTGAAATGGTGCTCCTTGGTTACGACCTATGTCACCTCTTCTTTTGGCCGTTGCCTGCCAACACTGTGAAAGTGCAGCTCAGGCATGCCAAACTATCATTGCTCATCTCTTTGTTCCTTCTTCATTGTCCTTACCATAGCCTTACCTTTCCTTCTCAGTGCCTGGCCTAGAAAGAAGAAACTTGGCTCTGGGCTGTATCTGGTTGAGAGACCAGATGTGATTTCCCTCTCTAAGAAAGTTTCCGTGTGGCTTAGTGTGAAGTGAGCCTTTCCGTGCCTCGGTGTTACTGCGTGTGGGACGGGAGACCTTTTTTTACAGCGGTCACGAGGAGTTTACAATGTATTTGACACCACTGATACTTAGTGCTAGTAGGGGAAATGCGTGTGGAGTCTAGTATCAGGGGAGGTTTGCCTTTTTTTTTTTTCGTTTTTTGCTGTTGTTTCCTTTATGCCCAATGCTGCTGTCTGCGCTTTCTACCAATTGTCGTCTCAATGGGGAACTCCGTTACGGGTCAAACGGCTAAAATCTATCAGCCGCTGCCAAAAGCTGCTCGAAGGCAGGCTTTACGGTGGTAACGTTGTTCAGCCGTGCGCAACTTGAGTTAAAACGTCCCTAATGCCGCCTCCGACGGGGCGCGGGCGGGCGCCAGAGAAGCTGCCGGAAGGCGGCGGGCGCATGGC